CAGAACACACAACCACCGCCGCCGCTAACTTCAAATCCACAATTCGCAGAGCTGATCCACGGGCCACCACCACGACACCGCACCCACGCGCACGCACCCAACAACACAGTTCGACAGAAACCACCCCAAATCTGCAACACAAAATTAACATACACCACACCCACAATAGAAATAATAGATCTCCGCTCCAAATCTGCGCCGATGGTTGGATCGAACACAGAGTTCTCCAAAGCGGCAGCGAAAAGTACGGAGACGACGAAGAACTCGTGAATGGTGGCAGCAGCGTCGCAGAGGGAGAGAGGGATAGGGACGGAGAATGATGCAGATCCGCAGGAAAATGTACAGACAACTGAGAACCTACGAACGGTGGCAGCAGCGTCGCGGAGGAGATGAAAATCGATTTCCTTTCATTGGAAAATTCTGATCCAGCATTCATAGTTTGAGCTCCGGCGTCGGAAAGAAAAACTGCCGCCAATGAGAGAGTGGAGAAATGGTGAGAGATGGCGAGGGGAAGAACGGTGGCGGCGGGAGGAGAAGAACGGTGACGGCGGCGGAGGGAGAAGGAGAAGAAACTGAGAGGAGAAGAAGGCAGCGGGAGGAGAGAACCAACTGGAGGAGGAAAATGAATTTTAGGTTAGATTATGGTTATTTTAATTGTGATGAAAATAATATAATTAATATCTAATAAATTAAAATAAACCTGATTTTTGAAAAGTAAAATTAGTTGGCTGATTTGTGAAATTGGTATTTTGAAAATCTGCCTGGGTGTAATTTCCTCAATTACTATTCTATATCTATTTAATTGCTTTAGTCATGTAAATATCTATTTAATTTTATTGAACTTTAATAAATGTATGAATAGATAGATTAGATTCAGGGAAATGAAGTAGAGTTAATTATGAACTATTTTAATGTAATTATCGATAATATAATTTTATTAAATTTAATTACCCTCAAGTCATTGGGCTTGTGTGCGAACACATCCTTTCAGTCAAGAATATCAATCCAAAACTTGGCCCCTTAATAGAGCTTAAGTTTTGCACAAGTCCCATTATTTTTTTTTTTTCCTCTTTATTTCCAACCCTTCCGGCTTGTAGTAGATTCGATGCGTGAAACTACCGTGGTTAAATGACTCTAGTTAATGATTACTAAAAACATCTTCAAAAAATTCTCTAAATACTCTTTAATTTAAAGAGTTTAGAGCATTTTAAAGAGGCTTTCTATTTTTAAAGAATATCTATAAACTTAAAGAATACAAAATTTGAAGTACTTCAATAAACTCTTTATATTTAAATACTTAATTTTACTACTCCAAAAAAAAAATTTTTATTGTTTTTCCATCTTTTATTT